CGCGGGAAAGGTGGCGCGGACCGCGGGCGGCGGGCGGGGCCGAGCGCGGACAAAGGTCTCCCCAGTCCCTTTAGGGGGCTTGATTAGTTTGATCCCCTGAGAAAGTTTGCATTTCCGGCCTCCTCGCTCTTGAGCGTCCGTTGGAATAATTTGCCATGGTCACAACAATAATAATAGGCACATTCACCCTTTATTTACTTATTTATTTCTGCTGCCTCGTTTATTGTTCACACCAGCCCCTCAGGGGCTAAGATAGGCCCCTTTTTGCAGACGGGGAAACTGACTCTCTGAGCCATAATGAATGAACCAAGAGCAGACGGCCAGGAACTGTCAGAGGCGGGACTCGAACCTAGGTCTTGGAGAATTCACAGGCCATGTGCCTACATGTGGATATCAGGCCCCTGCATTCAAGTTTTCTTGGGTTTCTTGAGGCTGTCCTCATGTTATGTGTTATGTATCCGGTAGCAGGCAGGGAAACCCTGTATCCGCACCTGTGGCTGGGAAGCCTTTCCTGGGTGTACCTGGATTTCATTTTCCATTCAGGTGAGCTGTGACCTTGGCGCTGGTCCATGTCCTGAATGGTTTTCTTGTAGCACCTGGGAACCCTTACTCCTTTCTTCTCTTCCAAGAGTAAATAGATCAGCTTGCATTCTCTGGGGGAGGGGATGTAATTTACAGATGTTAGTTAAGGTCATGGTCATAAAACTTTCTCAGTTTTCATCTCTCTCCGACCTGCATATATTTACATGTTGTATTTTGATGATTATAAAGGCAGTTTACAATGTTTTGCGTGTCCCTGAATGGCTTACAATTAATTCACCAGTTAAGTTGGACATACTCAAAGCATTTGGGTTTATTTCCATTAATCTTTAATGGAGTCGTAAGTAAATGGGGTGACTTGACAACTTCTTTTTGAAGTAACAGTCCTTTTCATTAAGGGATAATTTTTATATTTGTAAAGAAAGTCTCTCTTCTGAAAGCCGATGGATTCCATACAGCTTTTTAAATAAGAGGCATTCGGTCTGTGAGTTCTGTAGGCTCATGCATTATGGAAAGGAAGAGCAAGGACCCTTCATTAAAAGACATTTAAAAAAATAGAAACTTAGGATGTTCTGAGCAGCCCTCAAAGCCGCTTCTTTTCCTTGAGAACTTGGCTTTTCTGCATGGATTTTTGGCTGGCAACTGTGGTCATTTCACTAAAGAATTGAGATTTTGAGTTCTTCACTTCAGGATTGTGTGCTGAAAATATTGTCACTCGAACATCTACTGTTGGAGTTATTCTGAAAATCAGGTACTTAGCAGAAACCCTTCTTTTGTTAGATTAATGCATTTTTTGTCCCTTTTATAAACGTACGATGTTTCTCAAGCCTACTGAATTCTGTCACTTGGGGATGAAATCAGAACCATAAAAGGGAAGAGCTGAGAATCCTTTACTTTTTAACAAGTGTCTCAGGTTGATTCTATGATCAAGTAAGTGTCGGCACCTACCTGTACCAGGTGATCTCCTTACCTAGGTAAAAGATGGCCAACGCCCTTTTTTCTTTTTTTTTAAATTAAAGAATATAAAGTTTACCTGTTCCCGTAGCTATATAGCACCTTAGCATATATTTCTAGCTGGGGAAAGTCTCGGATGGGTCCTGCTTTTGCCGAGGAAGCTGCTTCCCTGGTAGCAAGATTTCCACAAGGCTAAACAGAAAACCGGTTCATCAGACTTTTGCAGAAGGGAGCAAAAGCAATAGATATGTGGCTTTTCTGTTTATTCTGTGGTTTGATGTAGTAGAAAATGCTCTAATTCGGGCTTGTATTTCTGAAGTTTTGAGAGTAGAGTGGTATGGTTATCTCCCTGGTCTGTTCAGAGCTGGGGTATCTGTGGCTATGTAAGAAATATTTGTTTATGATGTTGAGAATAAGCTTAAAACAGCTCAGTCATAAGTGGCAAGACCAGTTTCTCATATGCAATCTGTAGCTACAGTGTTCATATTGAAAGATTAAAAACTACGAAACTACTAACTCACTTTAAACTGAAGTTTAAAGCAGGCTTTCTTTGATCATGAAGAAGCTTGATTTTATTACAGGCCAGGACCATTTCTTCTCCTTTTTCCTAAGTTCTTTGCATTCATTCATTCATTCATTCATTTTGCTTATTCTGAGTGTTTTCTGATAGTGAGGAGGGAAAGGAGGTGTGGTCAGGAATATACGATTTGTAATAATAATCAGTTCTCTTTTCTGACCACTGGTTGGAATAGCTAGCTGAAGGCCATGTCAATGAAGCAGAAATATATCAAAGTATTTTCTTGGAACGATTATTCTGGAACAGCCCCTTTAGGCTGCAACCCCCTGGACTGTGACTGGCACACAATACATACTCTGGAGATTTACAAGCTTAAAAATTTTTTTTCTTGCTTTGTCAATCGCTAGAAACTAATGAAGTTGCGTTTTCTTACAAGAAAGTTCTCAATGGAACACTTACACAGTATTCACTCACCAAGGGTCACGTCACCTCTAAAAAGTAGTTTCTGATTCCGATTTCATGAAGTGTAAGGTTCTGAAGCACTGTAAAGCCACTGTATAATGACTAAACATAGCTTCTGAAGATGGGAGCACAGACTTTGCTTTTACCTGTGGGAGACAGCGAAAGACCACTGGTCACTGATCTTCGCTCCTCTTAGCATGACCGATCAGTGTATTATGGTTCTCTTTGAGAGCGCGTTTGTAGAGGAACTACTGCATATGATTGTCACACATCTTATTTAACAAAAGGATGCTAAACCCTTGGATGTTACCAGGAAGGAAATGCTATAATGTTTTCGTTGCTCCGTGATATCCTCCTGCCTCCTCCCAGATCCACTTCAACCATTGTCCTGTCCTGTTCCTCAGAAGGGTGGTTGGTAGCTAATAATATTAAACCCATTAAAGAGTGTGACCCGTGAATGTGCACTAAGTCGCAGGACCTTTGTTTTTTCAAAATTTTTTCTGCATCCCTTTATTATAATCTCATTTAGTTTGTCAGTCTTGGCAATATGTCTAGGTGTTCCTTTATGACAAAGTTATTTTCTTTTGAGGATTTTCATTTTTGAATGAAATAAAAACCAGAGGTTTGTTTTGGTCTGTGACTCCACAAAAGCAGTTAAGATCACCAGGTTGTAGGTTCCAGGGCTTATTTTCATCAATATAAGGAACAACTTTCTAACGATTAGAGTGATTCCAGGCCGGCCTGTTCTCTCTGATGGTAGAAAGTGCCATCGACCCAGGAGAGAATGAGCACAGGTACAGGGGGATTCACAAATCTGAGACAACTTGAATTAGACCTCTGAGGCCCACCCAGTGCCAAAGTTCTATGGTATTCTGTATCTCATCCTTGAACTTCAGTGCCAAGCCCATATACATAAATAGCGTATTTTCTATCGACTGTGGACAATCTAGTACCTGCTGCTTTAACAAATATTAAATTTATATCTAATTGCAATAATGCATAAGTGCAAAAATTAATACTTCGAGAAAAAACTTGGTACAGGATTATTTAATTCTAATGTCTCTGTCCTGGTAATGAGCACAATAAAACCGCTGGGCAGTCATCTTTCTGTTTGGCTTAACTTTAAAAGCACAAAACAAAGAATTTAGAGACTAAAATGGGCACCTACAATAAAAATGTTTTAAAAAGCTGACCTTCTCTTAGCCAGTATTATTGATTATCTACATTTTTATAATGCTGATATGCATCAAGCCCTGAAAAACATAATCTTCTGAATCAAAAAAGATCTAGCAACTTGTTTGGCATCATCTTAACCTTCGGCACCTTTTATTTTTGGAACACAAATGACCCCTGTCTTCTTAACATAGCAGTTCCATGTGAATTACTCAAAACCATTCTTCGCAGATTCTTTAAGTGTGGAGGCTGCACTGTGAGAGAAGGGCTTCATGGTGGCCAGCTGGGAGGCCAACCAGGGTTCAAGTCTCAGTGCTGTGTCTCCCTTGACCCTCCCTAGCTGAGGAGCTCGGGATGAGTCTTTCCTCATATCTTTGATTTCTCATCTCTACAAAAGGAATAACAAC